GAAGCCCTTCAAGACATGACGCTAATGATCCTAGGCGTGTGTGCTCTTGTGTCTCTCGTCATTGGAATAGCGACAGAAGGATGGCCCAGAGGAGCTCACGATGGCCTAGGAATCGTCGTAAGTATCCTTCTGGTCGTGTTTGTGACAGCGACAAGTGATTATCGCCAATCATTACAGTTCAGGGATTTAGACAAGGAGAAAAAAAAGATTGCCATGCAGGTCACAAGAAATGGGTATAGGAAAAAATGTCGATATATGATTTAGTTCCCGGCGACATTGTGCATCTTGCTATAGGAGATCAAGTCCCCACAGATGGACTCTTTGTTTCAGGATTCTCCGTGTTGATCGACGAGTCAAGTTTAACTGGAGAGAGCGAGCCAGTGATGGTGAATTCCCAGAATCCATTTCTTCTCTCTGGAACTAAGGTTCAAGATGGATCCTGCAAGATGTTGGTCACAACTGTAGGAATGAGAACTCAATGGGGTAAATTAATGGCTACATTGAGTGAAGGTGGAGACGATGAAACGCCATTGCAGGTGAAACTGAATGGAGTGGCCACTATCATAGGGAAGATAGGCCTATTCTTCGCGGTTCTTACTTTTGTAGTTTTGATGAAGGGACTTATGGCACGTCGACGACATGAAGGAAGATTTTGGACTGTGTCTGGGGACGACGCCATGGAGATGTTGGAATTCTTCGCCGTTGCAGTTACAATCGTTGTCGTTGCTGTCCCTGAAGGGTTGCCATTAGCTGTGACGCTGAGCCTTGCGTTTGCTATGAAGAAAATGATGAACGACAAAGCCCTTGTTCGACATTTGGCTGCCTGCGAGACCATGGGTTCAGCGACAAGTATATGTAGTGACAAGACAGGAACGTTGACGACCAACCGCATGACTGTCGTCAAAACATGCATTTGTATGAACATCAAGGACTGACCAATGAGGAGAAGGATTCTTCTAGTTTTCGCTCTGAGTTACCAGATTTTGCTATGAAATTGTTACTAGAGTCGATATTTAATAATACTGGAGGAGAGGTTGTGACTAAAGAAAAAGCAAAAGGAAACGTGAGATCCTGGGGACGCCTACAGAAGCTGCAATATTGGAGTATGGGCTGTCACAAGGTGGGGATTTTCAGAAAGAGAGAAAAGCATGTAAGATTGTGAAAGTTGAGCCATTCAACTCAGAAAAGAAAAGGATGGGTGTAGTTGTGGAGTTGCCTGAAGGAAATTTTCGAGCTCATTGTAAAGGTGCTTCTGAGATCGTTCTAGCTGCTTGTGACAAAGTGATCAATTCAAACGGAGAGGTCGTACCCCTTGATGCAGAGAAAAGTGATTATCTTAAAGAAACAATCCACTCATTTGCTTGTGAGGCACTTAGAACTCTATGCCTTGCCTATGTGGAATTGGAAAATGGGTTCTCTGCTGAAGATCCCATTCCTATTTCTGGATATACTTGTATAGGAATCATTGGTATCAAGGATCCTGTTCGTCCTGGTGTTAGGGAATCTGTTGCAATCTGTCGCTCAGCAGGAATAAGAGTAAGAATGGTCACAGGTGACAATATTAATACTGCAAAGGCTATAGCCAAAGAATGTGGGATTTTAACAGACGATGGCATAGCAATAGAAGGCCCAGATTTCAGAGAGAAGACTCAGGAGGAAATGTTTGAACTAATTCCCAAAATTCAGGTGATTCATATGATTGCTTCAATACTTATGAACCATCAACATTATTGATGTTTTCAATAACACAAAGTGCAATTTGTTTTCCAGGTTATGGCCAGATCCTCACCACTAGATAAGCATACTTTAGTGAAACAACTGCGTACTACGTTTGGAGAAGTTGTGGCTGTAACTGGTGATGGAACGAACGACGCCCCTGCCCTTCATGAAGCAGACATTGGACTTGCAATGGGCATTGCTGGAACTGAGGTGAGTCCAAACCAAACATTGCATGGTTTAAATAAGTACAAGATAGCGTTAAAGAGAAAGGAAAAGCCCATAACAAGTGGTGACAATAACAATGTGATTTGTGAACAGGTTGCTAAAGAAAGCGCTGATGTCATAATTCTGGATGATAATTTCTCTACTATAGTGACAGTGGCAAAATGGGGACGTTCAGTTTACATAAACATTCAAAAATTTGTCCAGTTTCAGCTGACAGTTAACGTGGTTGCCTTACTAGTGAACTTCAGTTCAGCATGCACAACAGGTATGAGAACCAACCTCACTAGTTCACCTCACTTTATGAGCTTAACATCCCGCTTCAATTCCTTCTTTCTAAATCCTATGATCGTAATTAATGAGTTTCCTTGTTCAGGAAGTGCACCTCTTACGGCAGTTCAATTATTGTGGGTGAACATGATAATGGACACACTTGGAGCACTTGCCCTGGCAACTGAACCTCCAAACGACGAACTAATGAAACGTTCACCAGTGGGAAGGCGGGGAAGTTTCATCAGCAATGTTATGTGGAGGAATATCTTAGGCCAATCTCTATATCAAGTCCTAGTGATATGGATTCTCCAGGCCGAAGGGAAATGGATCTTTGGAATGAAGGGTCCAGATTCTGATATCTTGTTAAACACACTTATTTTCAACACATTTGTCTTCTGTCAGGTAATTCATCTATCTCATTTGAATATGGAAGGAAGAACATTAAACTGAAGCATTTGATATCACGTGCCGGTTTTGGCATCTGCAGGTTTTCAACGAGATAAGCTCACGCGAGATGGAGGAAATAGATGTTTTTAAGGGCATATTGGATAATCATGTTTTCGTGGCTGTCATAAGTGTCACTGTTTTGTTTCAAATAATAATAGTTGAGTATTTAGGAACCTACGCTAACACCACACCCCTTGCTCCCATCTACTGGTTGTTTAGCGTTTCCATTGGATATTTAGGCATGCCCATTGCTGCTCACTTAAAGAAGATCCCTGTCTGAACCATCCCTATGAATCACAGTTGTATATTCTCTCTAAGCTTTGTTGGTAAATTTAGCATGTTAGTAATCAAGTCACTGTGAAACCATCACTTACCCATTTTATCTAATGCATTTTTTCTTAGTGATAAGAGTCACTGGTACAGACACACATGATGGTGTATGATTGTGTCCAAATTGGAAAACAGTCTCTGTTTGGAACCGCGGGAGACGTAGGACGATTCCCACCCAATGCACAACCAAATGTGGCAACGTAAGAGTATTAATTTGGTCCCTCCCCCTTTATCGTTCTTGGCATTTAGTTTTGAGCCAGACAAATAATTTCTTGTCCAATCAAAAGAAGCTAAACAGAAAAGAACACAAGAACGTTTTCCCTGTGGAATACATAAGAACAAAACCCCTTTAGTCGTACGATAGTGAACATATTGTGGTCCAACAAACACCTCTGCAACCCCTCTGCCTGACAGTTATGCATACGGAAGCAAAATTTGAACTTCAACGCAACTAGCCAAACTCACTTCTATTGCCATTGTCCTTTTCATTGGCCATATTGCTGAACTAAGGAGACCCTTACTATTGCACGCCATTTTCTTCTGCATATATGGTGCAGGCATTAGTCGGTGAAACTAACTGCGATCCTAAATTATTATCACCTTATCATTGAACATGTGAATCCTGTTTTACGTTTACCTTGGAAATCCTAGTTATCTGTCAGTCTGGGTCAGTATAACCACACTATGAATAATTGGATATCAACAAGTACAGCTTTTTTAACCAAGAAATGTGGAGGACGAAAGAATCTGGGTCGGTAATAGAAATGTGCATGTGAACCAGTTAGGAAGGGAACAATAAGCTGGTCACGGTAATTTGTTTACACCATAATACAAGGTTGGGGCCAGACTGGATGACTCTCTGCATATTCATCCTCCCTACAAGAGCATGTGGATTCTGACACAACCCTCTTATGAATCTCATCCTCCGTATCTCTAATTTCATGGTGATAAACTGGGCCCTACTCCCTACTTTAGTTTAGCAAATAGCAATCTCAGCTCATCGTGTTATCTACTAGATATAGGGATGTCTCTTGATTTGTCCACATATAATACATACGTACAGAAATGTTGTGTGTGAAAGATGGAAAGTGAGGGTGACAATGGCATATAATGTTAGAATGCATAAACTTAAGGAGTAAAAAAAGGAGAATAGAACATTTCTCTGAAGGTGGGTGGCAACCAAAACATGTACAAAGTGAGCTGTCAGATTGCCTAGTTTGATCGTCTGATTTGTGATACATTATCAAGGATTTTAATTACTACCAATGCACTGTACTGAGGATTTACCATTTTCAGGGCTATAGTAATATTAATGCATCAATAATCAAGGTACAGAAAAACAGTTTAAGCAAAGTTTCTCGGCCCTGTTCAAAAAAGGTCCTCTCACTTCCCAAGCAAGCAAAATCACACTCAACTTTACAAGCTTTCTTTAATGGCCCCGCCCCAAGTGCTTCTCAGATACAGCAAATCAATCAAACCCTAACGCCTCATTCTTCCTTCCTGGCTTTCAGCCTTTTCAAAGACATCACAATCTCCCTCTCATAGGGCAGGATTGCCCCAGTCCTACCATGGCTTACATGCTTAGGCCAAAAATAAATAAATAAATAAATGCGGTTGAAAAAGTGGCAATAAGCAATTCAAGAAAACAAACACTGCCCTGCATCACAGTGGAAAAATAGCCTTCAAACAGCTCATATGGCTCTTGGACTTTTAGTCACCTTCATTCTTCCCTCTTACGGTAGGCTAATTCTATCTGCTCTTCTTCTTTTTTTTTCTTTATTTATTTACCTTCTTTTCCTCTGTCATGGTTGTCACTGGTTGACACTTTAGTAGGGTATGTGGAAAATAAAACCCCAATGATCAAATACCAAATCATTCCACGAACTGGTGGTTGGCACTCATTAGCAGACCTATGAACTATGAAAGAATAAAATCTTCAGTGGAAAAAAGATCATATAATCCAATCAGTAAAAAACAATTAATCTTCCTATAACTAAGGTCGATGTATCTTTTGTTCAGGATAGCTTTCAGTTCCGCTTTCTAGGAAAGTGAGTTTTCTCTTGGTCCCAGAAGAAAGAACAGAGGCATTCTCCAAAACATCTGTGAAGCTGGAATGTGTTGACAACAAATTTGAGTCAGGAGTCTTAATTTTCCTTCTCTCTATTTCCTGCATTAGATTGTAACAGGAAAATACAAGTTCCTGTTGGATAACATTAAAGAAAATTCCATCAAACTGTGTTCTGTTCCTCCAATTGTTTTATCTAAATAACAAAGATTGGAAGCAAAAAGATCAATCAAACTCACACTTTCTAGGGACCCCCAGGATATCGAGCTTAAACAAAGATCCACACTGTGTCTCGTCAATGTAGCGTCAGAAGCTGCTAATATGGCAGCAGAAGCAATAACAGATGGACGATGATCTGTTAAACTAATATCTGCGTGGAACAAAAATCAGTTATACTATCTGTTAAGGGATTTTATTCAGTGTACATTGTGAAGATGAATTACCTTTCACGATTGCCATAATATGGCCTACAGCTCTTGAGATTATTGCTTCTGGCTTGGATTCCAAGGAAAATTTCTTGACCAAGTACTGCAGATATGCAAAAGGAGTCACGGATCCCATTTTCCATCCCAAGGAATCCAAAATTAGTAATTCCATTTTCCTAATCACTTTATTCTCAAAGCAATATTCTTTTCCCGGTAATTCAGATAGAGTTGGTACGTTTTGCTCTTCCATTTTCGCTGCCAAAGATAAACATGCCATCGATAATAATTGAAAGGCCCAATCTTTCGCTTCCTACATTAGAAATAACAGAAGCAAATCAAAAGTGTAATTCAAAAAAACCAAAAGCAATATGAAATCATCAGGGAAACTCGATTTCTCACATCAATGGATCGCCTTGAAAGGAATTGATCGAAATAAGTCACTGATAAGTAAATGGTGTGAGATTTAAACCCAAATTTCGCCCCTGTCTGAATCAAAGCAAAAGAAAGAAGTTCTCCATCAATTCAAGGGGGGGAAAAGCAGGGATTTTTCAAAACAAGAAAAATCAAGAAAATGGCTGGGTTGGCTGACGGAAACTAACGTTGAAAATCCAGTCAATGGCACCCACACGAGCACTCTTGAGACATTTAGCAGCACTTGTTGAGCAATCATCACTTGGGGGTGCAAACCCCATTTCTCTTTTAAACAAAATCTCAATGTACTCCTCTTCATCCTCGAAAACAGAACATGGGTTCATCCAGTCCATGCCAGAATTCTCATCACCAACCTTCAAAATGCTAGCTTCATCTTCTTCACACAAAAGGCTAGAGAAAGAAAACGAAGAGGCAGAGGTCGCCATTGTTCTGGTTTCTCACCTTAGCACGTGCATATATATCAGAGAAAGTGAATGAGATTGTTCACTTCATGGAATCTAACCGCTAAATACAGGAGCGTTAGTGAGAGAGAGTGTGAGAGAAAAGAGGAGAAGATTGAGAGGGAAATGGCGATGTTGGTGCCGCCAAAAGGAGGGAAAGGAATTATAATTAGCGGTTAGAGAGGGGGTTATGGGATTTATACAGACTTACAGCGGATGATCCGAATCCCAAATAATCTCAATATGTTTATGTTGGGAGATTCATTCGGAGTGGAAGAGGAAGTGGTCAGGTGCGTGCAATTCCGCTTTTGGTGCTAAGGACAGCTGTTGGATGGGAAGTTTTGTCCCTTCTAATTCAAAGCCCTTTCACTTTGGTCATACCCTTCATCATCTTCACTGATTTTATTATTATTTTTTAACCACACATTTATGCTTTTAATTTTTAGTTTTTATTGCCCGTTTCATTTGGTTTCTCGCTACAAGTCCAGAATAATCTAATTTCAGTCCTGCTTTGACCTAGCTTTGACGACAACAAAAATTTTAGGCAAATTTGAGAACAAAAGAAGACTGAGTATAAAATCTGGGAGTAAAAATCAATTTTTGAAACTTTGTTAGAGGCATTTATAAATTTACAATGATCTTCAGCAATCAACAATACAAATTTTAAACTTTAAATATAAGTTCTTCGTTTTATTTAATTCTCATTTGATATTCATTTTTTAACCGTGTGTTATTTTTTCCCCTTTTATTATATTTCAATTTGACTGTTAATTTTTAAAAGTTGTTCAAGCTTTTCGTCACTCAAAACCAGCATCTATTATCCAGCTAAGTGGCTGACAGAAAATTCTGCGTGGCAAATTGATTAAAATAGTTGAAAGTGTTAGGTAGATTAGAAAAATATAAAGGGGAAAAGATTACTTTATGATTAAATAAAAAATTTAAAATAAATAAAAACTGATAGACAAAATTACGTTCAAAAATAAAATACAACTATCAAATCAAAATTGGAAGACGAAAATAAAAATGAAATAAAAAAAAAAAACTAAAGCTCTCGTTTTTAATTTAAATTTCGTATCTACCCTTTAAAATTAAATTATCCTTTAAAATTAAATTCAGTATTAGCTGAGGTCCAGAGTTGGATTAGACATATATTCTCCACCCGTTTATTGTCTAATTCCTCTACAGAACTATAATACGCGAAAAAGTATATGAAATATTTTTTAGCAGTCTTTTCTTTTGACGGATTTAATGCATTTTTTTTTGAAAAAATGAAGTGATCTTCATCATATCAAGAATAAAAATGGATATTATAGTTTTGATTGATATCTTGCTTTTGTAATCAAAATAATCCCTCGTGTTTGGATAAATAACCACCTTGCATCATTATTTGGATTTAAAAAGGTATGGATATTCTATAGCATCTCTGTGTTCGTACGTTCTCATTCTCAAACTTACAGGCTTACATAAGCCAAAAAGCATAAACCTGCCCATTATAATATACTCCTCTAGTTATTAATATAAAACTTATTTAATTAATTTGATTAGATTAAGAAAGTTAGTTAATTACAAAAAAAGTGATACATTTTTTCTAAAACACCATAATTATCTTTCTTAATACACCATCTCCCTTTTTTACTTGATTATGGTTGAGAGAATATCCATAAGAGTAATTTAGAGAAAATTGATAAATATGAGAAATGGGTCTTATATTTAAGACTAAAATCAGCTCAAGAATTAGATTTTATATTAAGGACTAGAAGAGTAATTTTGGATATAATTCCGTTACTTTAAATTTAGACTTTTGCAATTATATAATAAGCTCCATTATTCTTAGCATTATTACAAGTGGTCTCACCGGCTGGCCGTATATCTCTTTTTCTGGGTTCACACGTCCTTGTGGTCTACATTAATTCTTCTGCACATATTTAAGCATTGTGCTAATCTTAATATCTCTCTTAAATTTCCATCTCGTTTTTTTAATGGGACGATATTATGTACAACGACCTTAAAAGACGCAACAACTATGAGATTTTTCAAAAGAACACGTGTGTGTGTAAATAACTCTAGATTTGGTCATTTTTTGAATGATTTTTTTTGGAAATACAATATATAATTGGATATTACTTTTCCATTGTTACTTAATATATTATTGTCGACTTACAGAGGTAGAAGGATGGATCAGTTGAATGTGAATTTGAGAGTCAGTGAGAGATGGATGATATGATGTGGATGGATGAATTACGAGGTTTATGATTAATGTTATGCATTTTTAAAAGTATTATTTTCCCTTCATCAAACCCTTTTTGTCTCTTCCTAATCATCTTCTTGTTTTCCCTGAATTCTGATTATATTTAATTTATGGAGTAATCTAGCCAGATTTGGCTTCAAACGATGTCTTCGCACTTTTGTTTCTTAACTGTCAAGATAAGGTATCATCAAAATTCTTATAAAATTATTTATATATTTATGTAGTTCCCGTAGGATAATAATACGCACAAACTGATTAGTCAGGGAGATTTTAGAAGTTTGGATCTGGGAAGTGAGATTACAATTTGGATCCGTTGTTCCATTTTTTTCTGGTAAAAAAGGCTTAAGAGTCAATATTCTTAATCAAGTTCTTTCAAATTGTTAGAGATTTGAATCACAAGTTCAAGTCAAGATCATGTATTCAAATAACATTAATAATTTATTTTTCTTTCCCCTGAAATCCCTATAACTAAACATGTACACACGTAAGTTCAAGGACCCAAAGGGGCTATGGATTTGAGGGATTATTGAAGAAAATATTTTTTCCAATTTAAAAAATAAAAATTATAATACCAAATGCACTCATCAAAGTCCCATATAAGAACCGCAAAATTTTCTTTTGGGCAAAAGACCCTGTGAATTTGAGAATTTATTAAGAGCCAATTGAAGCAGAACAGAGAGCAGTGAGAGTCTGCATTAGTAGTAAATTAAAAGAAAGAGAAGATCAGATTATGGCCCTTATATATTTCTTAAAAAGAAAAAAAAACAAATGAAATGGTGTATTAAGTAAGAGTGATTGATAAATTAAAGTAATAATGACACAGGATCCGAAACCTGCACAGCCATTATAACTGCTAAATAAAATGCCATCTTTTTACAGTATTTATTCCCTTTGACCCCCTTCTGAACATTGGCTAGTGAATGCCACCATCCCATTAACACTATTCAATCCCAAAACCCCTAATTAACAAAACCCCAACTTCAATATGTAAACCCCATAAACTCAACCCTCCAATCCAATAATATTCCCTCACAACTCCATCAAAAAGTAAAGTCCCTCACACAGTGATCACCCCATTAGGGTTTTGCAGCCAGCATTGGAAATTACAGTGACATTGACATAAGAACGACTCACAACCTCTCTCTCTCTCTCTTTGTGTGTGTGTGTATATATATATATGTATGTTCATGTATATGTGCGTAGGGTATGATATGTGAAAGGTGAGGGGAAATGGAGGGAAAAGGGGGGGCCAGAGAGAGAGAGAGAAAGAATTGATGAAAGTAGGAAAGCACACGTGAATATAATAGCAGAGGAGGAGGAGCGTCTTCACGTGTGAAAGGCTGATCCCACTGGTTTTTATAAAAAGAAAGCACACTCCCCATTCCAATATGTGATCCCAACCTTATGAACAAGACGCTCCTCCTCTATCCACTCCTCTCTCTCTCTCTCTCTCTCTCTCTCTCTCTATAATATCATTAAACTAAACCTGTGTGCTGCCGAGCCGAGCCAAGTAGGTGCTTAGGTATTAGTGATGAGAAATGGAAAGACTAAGACTTTGACTCCCAGACATCCATCAGCAAACCCAAGATGGTCAGCACCTTGTTTGACCATCGATGCATGAAATGATGATCACCATTATGATCTTAGCTTCGCCTCTTTCTCTTTCTCTCTTTGCTTACAGATGCAGAATGGGTTGCTGCAGAGAAAATTATGGTTCCAAGGCCACTCACTTCTCTGCTTTTACTCATTTAATCCCAATCACAATTTATATATGTGCCTCTCTCTGATCAATGCCCTCACGTACGTCCTCATCACAAGGGATCATTAGGCACATGTACTGTGCATGAATGTGTTTTTTACCTGTTTATGTGAAACTCAGTAAATTAAAGAGATGAAGTAGTGGAAGTTGCAGATATTAGTGTGTGTGTGTGTGTGTGATATATATTGCCGCCGAATTCAATGTTGCTTTGGCCACCATGGATGATGATGATGAAGAAGCAGTATTGTGTGGGTGTGTGTCTACACACACACACACATATTTAATTTCAGTGTGATTTCATCATTTTCCCAACCACCCCCACCATTATTCTCTTTCCTTTTCCATATGTTACTGTTGCATTATCAATTTGCTTGATGATCCATGCTTACTATTCTTGTGTGTCATCATTAATTTTCCACTCCCTCATTTACCACCAAAATTCTGGTACGTTTTGAGTAATTAAAAAAAATGTTTTTCTGTCTCAGTTCCCCAAAAAAAAAGGTTTCAGCTTTTTCTTGTCTGATTAATGAGTTTCTTGGACCGTACATGCATGACTTCATTACCCAGATTGCTCAAGCACACATTAAGTGGCGAAGTATGTGCATTGGACATGTCTACTTTTATAGTGATTCTGAAACCTCATATGTGCATTGGGCTTTTCTTGGGCCTCCATCCAAGCTGATTCTCGGTTGGAATAATCGAAACTGTTTTTCTTGGGCCTCCATCGTTCTTGGGCTTTTATTTTCTTGGATAATTTATTCAATTTCAAAATCGTAAACAGTCACATGGTTAGGTCTATCGACGCTTTCTATTGGCATACCGTGAGGCTTGCGTACTTCATGGGAGCCGAAGGGTCTTTTTGCTTCTTTTCCTCTTTTGGTACAAAGGAATGGAAACGGTCTTTTTCTCCAATTGTTCTCAACTGGACCTTAACTTACTGGCCCATACAAGTTTAATTGGGTATAGAGGCCCATTATTATCAGAATTTTCGGCCCTTAGGATTTTGTGCCCAGGTTCTCCTGTGTTTGGAAACATGCTTTGCAACTTTCAAGATGTAACCGTTCTTTGTTTATTATTATTATTTTTTTTTTTTGGTGAAGGAGGATAACCCAAGAAGTTACATATTCACTCTACGCACGACACCTAATCCTGAACAATCATCTTGGAGCATTTGACACACTTCCAAAGGTGGCGAGGACTAGATCTTTTTCCTGTCACTTTGTTAAGCACTCAAGTGAGCCATTTTATCCGCAACTCTGTTACTATCTCTATATCCATGTTTCACCTGCAGTTGCCACTTCTTTTCCAGCATCATCTTAATGTTTCACCTACACTTGCCACTTCTTTTCCAGCATCATCCTAATCCTTGTGAATAATTGCACATTTCCGATTACCGGGTCATTAAATAGCATAGCTCGAGTGATCTGTGCAACATCTGTCTCCACTTTGACTTTTTTGAACCCCCTATCCAAGCATAATATTAGACCTTCAAGGACTGCCCATGTTTCGGCTTTCACGGAGCTATAATTATTTAATCGAACTGAAAAACTACTTAGCCATTCCTCATAGTCTCCCCTTATACCTCCTCCACAACCTGCTATTCCATCACAAGACACCCTCCCATCCACATTTAGTTTGCACCGCCCAGATTGTGGTGCCTCCCAAGTGACCATTATTGTGGTGCTTCTTATCACCTCCAAACTATTACCATCCCATTTTTGCTGATAATTGCTGATATAGGATCGAATAACTTCTACTGCATGATTCAATAATATAAATTCCTCCTCATGCATCTTCTTATTCCTCCATCTCCAAATAAACCATTATCCTACAGCAAAAATATCAGCCCAGTTTCCCTCATATCTATTCATTGATCTCCTTATTAAATTGCTTTTTAACCAGTCAGACCACTCCTTACCAAAAAAACTTGCTCTCTTGTCAATTGGCACTAGTTGTCGCCACACATATGTTGCATGTGGACAATCCCTTAATGCATGGATTAGAGTTTTTGTCTGATTTTGACAGATTTTACACCTTCTCGCACTTCCATCCCACCTTCTAGTAATTTCTTTTGTTAGTACCTTTTGCCTAACACGTGCCATAAGAACAGCCTTGCTCTCTCCGGAGCTTGAATTTTCCAACATTCCTTCCATATGATCTCTTCCGCTCTCTCCTTATCAGCATGAAGAAATTTATAAGCACTTAATTACAATGGTAAACTTGCCATTGCTCGTTAGTTTCCAGTGCAACTTTTTCTCTTCTGTATGCCTCCCCTCTTCATCTCTCGTTTCCTCTCCTGGAACATATTCCAAGTTCGTAACATATGCCTCCCACAGCTTGGTAAGTTCTCTCTGTAGTCTTGAGTCTCCACTTCTCCTTACCAATTGGTTATCACCTTGGCCTGTTCCTCCATATTTTGCTTGAATCACCTTAACCCAAAGATCCTTTGGGTTTTGATGGGCTCTCCAAAAAAGTTTAATGAGCAAGGCTTCATTCATGCTTTTGAGTGACTTGATTCCTACACCTCCTTCACCCTTAGGTTTACACATCTTCTCCCAAGCAACTGCATGCCAATGTATGCTTTCCTTTGTATCGCCCCATACAAAACTCCTCTGTATTTTTTCCAGTTGCTCAGTCACTCCATAAGATATCTTGTCATGTTGCATCAGATAGAGTGCCATTGAGCTAGTCACTAATTTCACCAAAGTTAAAGTTAACCTTCCGGGAATTGAGAGACAAGAAGCTTTCCACCTACTGAGTTGTTTCTTCACTCGATCAATAATGTTGTTGATTTGTTTTCTCCTTTTTCTCGAAAATGAAATATCTGCACCCAAGTAGTGTCCCAATTCGTTCACCTGCTTGCATTTGCTTCCATTGCAAATTTCTCTCCTTTGATGTTGGGCTACATTGGGTGAGAAGTAGATGTGAGTCTTTTCCTGGCTCACACAGTACCTTGACATGTCTCCAAACCCCTACAAGCATTTTAGAATCACATCAATTTGATCTTAGTCTGCCTCTGCAAAAAGAGCAAGATCGTCAACAAACATAATATGTGATATGATGGGCCCATTTCGACCCGCTCTCATTCCTCTCCAGTGTTTCTCTCTAACTCTCTCACTAATCATATGTGTAAGATTTTCTGTGCCGAGCACAAAGAGATAGGGGGAGAGAGGATCTCCTTGTCAAAGACCCCTAGAAGGGTAGAAAGTCTCTAATTTTTCTCCATGCCAGAGAATTTTTGTTGAAGTAGTATCCACACGTCTCATGATTTTATTTATCATATCTTTGGGCAGCTAATTCCTCCAAGACTCTCTGGCGGTATTTCCAACTGAGTCTGTCATAAGCTTTTTTCGGGTCCACTTTGATTGTCATAAATCCTTTCTTCCCTTTTTTCTTCCTCATAGAGTGGATTATTTCATTAACAATGATGATATTGTCGTGAATATTCCTTCTTAGAAGGAAGCTAACTTGAAAGGGGGATATTAGTCATGCCATGACCTCCTTTAATCTTACCACAATCACTTTGGAAAGACATTTGTAGATCACGTTACATAAGGAGATGGGCCTAAGCTGTTGAACTCTTTTAGTGCAATCTACCTTTAGAATCAAAGTAATCATAGTGCTGTTCACCTCTTCTATTCTTCTTAGATTTTTACATAAATTCCTCACCGCTTTGCAGACATCATTTCCTATGAGCTCCCAATTTTTCTAAAAGAAAATTGCTGAGTATCCATCATCACCTGGTGTTTTCAATCCTCCCATTGAAAGCATAGCAGCTTTTATGTCTTCATTTGAGATGTTTACATTTATTTCTGCCCATTCTTCTGAATCAATGGATGGCCAGGTCTGTTTGGTCTAAACCCAAGGCCTTTCTTTATCTTCTTCAGTAAACAACCTTTGAAAGAACTTGTTAACAAGCTTGCCAACTTCATTTTTGCCTTCTATCCAATTGTTCTGGTCATCTTTAAGTGTTTGAACTCTATTCCTCCTTCTCTTTATTTTGGTTTTAGCATGGTAAAAGGAGGTATTTCTGTCTCCGTCAGTCAACCATTTTGTCCATGCTTTTTGAAACCATAACACCTCCTCTTGAAACAACACTTCTCTGAGTTCCTCTTGAAGTTTTCTTTCTTCCAAATAATGACTTACTTTTTCTTGTGTTGCTCTGTGGATATCGTCAATACGTTGCATGAGTTCCTTCTTTTTCTTAGAAATATGTCCAAAAGTTTTGATATTCCAATCCCTCAACACAGCCTCCAGCCTCTTTAACTCTTCCCACACATCATGATCGCTCGACCAGGCATTTCAAAGCATAGTTTTGAAATTATCATGGGTGAGCCAGGCTGCTTCAAACCTGAAGGGTCTTTGAGCTTTGTTCCCTTAAGGTTGAGTGAGATAAATGAACAACGGGTCGTGATCTAACTATACCCGGGGACCTACTTGAACCACTACTTCTCCAAATAAGTTTCGCCATTGTATATTGCTCATGGCTCTATCTAATCTCATGTATAGCCTATTTGCATACTGAGTGATGGGGCCTCTCCATGTAAATCTAGGCCCTTCTGACCCCAAGTCAATAAGCTTACAATGTTCAATGTTGCTATTAAATTGTTCTCTGTTTATTAATAGCTTCTGTTTTATCATCCTTCGTAGATATCAATATTCTGTTGGCACCCAATCTGTCCCAACTATTGGTTGCGAAAGTTATATTGGATTATTCAATTTGAATAAAAAATAACAAATTAACTATTACTACAGATTAGTTAATTTTTAAAATTGATTGAACTAATAAATTGAACAAAAAAAAATTAATACTACTACCGATTCTTAATATAAGAGCTAATTAACTAATTTGAATGAATTCAAAAAATTAGTTAGTCACTTATTTTTAATAAATAGGTTTTGTTTTCCTAAAATACCCTTGCTAATAATATGTGGACATTAGAACTATCATGTAATAAAATCTTTAACATATGTAACTACTATAAATGGATACTTTAAAAAAAATAGATAAATATAAGAGATAAAGTGGATTGGAACCTTATATTTAAGATTAAATTAAAAATCAAACTAACTTTTATATTAAGGACTGGAGGTAATACATTGGTTAGGATAACAATTCAATCAATTTTTGAAATTCATTAAGAATTTTACGGATCAATAAAAAGACAAACAATGACAAAGCTTGTGATTTTTTAATTAAAAAAAAAGAACTTAGAGATATATATATATATATATGTATGTATATGTATAGATGGTTACTGGTTAGCAAATTGGGTTTAAGTTTTAAAATATTGGAGAGAGGTTAAGTTCGTTAGAACAAACCAAAAAAGCAGGCCCAATCGGGAGAATGTGGTGACCGTTGGCTCAGTTAAGAAACAGCGCGGGAAAAAGCACGTGCGTTATTTTTATATTTTTTGGACTGACACGTGCGTTATTTTATGAACAGGCTTATACACGCAGAAGCGCGCTCGCTGGTTCCGTTGCGGGGGTTGGTGCGAAGTGGACTGCCAGATAGACTCGTGACTCTGTGAACTTCGGATTACATAATTGATCCAATTTCCCCTGAAATCTCGTCCTTCAAGAAATCCAAGGATTACTCTACTTGCGTTATCCCATCAATCACTTTACTCGTCGTCATTTCAGAATACAGAGTAGGGCGTGATCAGAAAAGTTAAATGTGCCATTGCTCCGGTTCAACAACTCATTTCCCCTCTGCTTCTGTGTTCCTTTTCTCTCGATTTGTTTATAACTTTCAAATAGAAACGCTTCGAAGCAGGTGATTCATCGTTAACTCTATGTTCCTCCCTTCCACAATCCCACGCTACCTGCTGCAATCAATTTCATTTCAATTCCACATTTCCTGACTGCATTTATTTCTTCCATTAGAAATTCTAGATTGAATCAAACCTTCGCCAATTTAGAATTCCAAAGGCATAAAATCGACGTACGAAGGGTTCGATTCTTGGCTGGGTCTGTTTCAGGCTTTAATTTTCAAAAGCCAAGTAGTATCGTTTGATTATTTATTTCTATATTTATGCAGCCGTTGAGAGTGGAGCACAAAGTGAGGTTGAGATAAATAGCAATATTGTGAATATCTAATGGATGCTCAGAATTTAAGTCCCGTATCGCCTCCCCCTTTTCCTGGGTCGGCGTCGACGAGTTCCACATGCAAGAAAATGTTGATGAACAATTTAAAGCCTAGAAGGTGCAGCTATGTGTCCACAGCAACAAGAGATTTATGGGATCGTCTATTCGATAAAGGCTATAAAGCAGATGTTTGCATTAATACTCACAATGGTGGTATTCTCTTTGCTCATTCTAACGTTCTTGTAAGTTCGTTCACTTCGATCGAATTTGTATCATAGTCTTATAGTGTACTCAAACAACGGCTGCTTCTTTCCTAACAACTATGCAAGTGGATGTGTTTTTTACGTTGTTTGTTGAATCCGTGCCACTTACATGGTGCCATAAGAACAGGGGATGGCTTCTCCAGTATTGAGAGGCGTGCTTCAGCGTCAGCGATCAATCTCCATTCTTGGGGTTCCACATGATGCTGTCCGAGTTTTTATTAGATTCCTGTATTCATCCTGGTATGTTCTATCCCTTTTATCCAACGTTTTGCTCAGTTTCTACGTCTTCATAATTTTTTTAGCCGCTGGTCGCTGCATCTCTATGACTTGTTAGTTTGTAACTATGCTTTTAAAAAGATTCTAATCTTGCCCTTATCATCAATCTTTTGTATGTCCAATTTTCCTCTTGAATGAATTCAATGGCATAAATTCCATGTTGGGAACTACAAGTAAATTGCAAGTACGCATTTTCAAATTATGGGAATTAAATTTGAAGTCAAATTCTTTTAAGAATAGCATAATAACATAACCGAAGTGACTACTGACTACTAGGAATGATGACTGTTTGACGTTCTCTTTGATAGCTACGAGAAAGAAGAAATGGAGGAATTGGTGTTGCCTTTGTTGGTGCTGTCACATGCATTTGTTGTACCTCACTTGAAGCGTGAATGTGAAGAGAAGCTAGAGATGAGTTCACTCACCATAGACAACGTAGTTGACGTATTTCAGCTTGCATTGCTATGCGATGCTCCACGGCTGAGCCTAATTTGTTACCGGTTGATCTCAAAGAATCTCAAACCTGTTTCAGAGCCTGAAGGTTGGAGGGCAATGAAGCAGAGTCACCCATTTATGGAAACCGAAATTCTGCAACATATGGCTGTGGAAGAAAATGTAAAATCCTGTCTTTTCTTTATTCCCTCTTGATTTTTCTGGAATTTTCTGGATTTGAAATTTTCTGGGATGAGCTGGTGACCAGAGAAAGAGGATGAGGAAGAGGAAGAGTGAAGAAAGGAAGATGTATATGGAACTGTACGAGGCAATGCAGGCACTGGTTCACATCTGTAGAGATGGGTGTCGAACAATTGGTCCACACGATAAAGATTTAAAAGCAAAGGAGGCTCCTGTGGTTATGCATGTGAGATATTTATTATTAATATATAACTATTTAGATATTATTAGGATAATTAATAAATATTTCTGAGTGTGGCCCGTAGTCATTTTGGGCCCAGTCCAAGATGGGTAATGGACTCAATTAATTAAAGTTAGTTTCTGATGGTGAAAAGAACATACGGTACATTGAGTCAGGAGCGAAACCCTAATCTCTGCTCACTCTCTGAGGGTTCCCCACTGGTGACGGCTGCATCCCAGTTGCCATCGCTGTGCCCAATCGCCAGCTGGAAGATTCCCTGCATTCTTTCTTCTCTAATTGTGTTCTTTAATCCACAGCTTATCATTATTCAGATCGAGTTCTACATCAAATCAGTTGAGCTAATGGAGAGAGGTATTTATAAGTCTTCCGCTGTAACTCCTTTAAGTATCACATACATATATGTATATAATCTGGATTGTTTGAATAATATATGTATATATGTAGTTTTGTTAACATGTGGTATCAGAGCCTGGTTTCTGATTCACCTTGCCTTGCTCAATCATAATGCTTCTTTTCATTCTATTATTTTTCTCCTTGAAAAATTATTTGAAAGCATTATTTTGGTTTGATTAAATTTTTCTTTTGGGTTTTTCTGAGAAGGGGAATTAATATATGATTTAATATGTTGATGCATATATGATTGTGTATCCGTCTTTCCATTTTGAATCCTTTATGTGAAAATATTTGCATACATGATTGTATGTCCGTGCGTGTATGCGTCTGATTGAGAGAGAGCGAGGGAGGGAAGGCACTTGCTTCCCCGATGAACGCCGTCGCCAACGCCGTCCGTGAGACCGAAGAGAACCCTAAAGCATTGTTTGATTTCTCTGTGCAACAGACGCGATTTTGATGTGTTTTGGCTTAACAGAGTTCGAATCTAGCTGTTTTACGTTAGAGATGTGTTCCAACGTCAAGAAAAACGCACCCTTTTGGTCAGAAAACAGTCACAGTTTCGCCGGAAAGCATGGCAGAAACGTTGCAGACGCCGGCGGCTATGGAGACCAGCAAAACGGGTCAAAATTCGGGTTAGGTTAACCCGGATCCGTGTTATTAACAAAAAAAAAAAAGGGACCCAGAACCAGACTTATAAAGGCCAAAAAAAAAAAAACGCAAGTGTTCAGCCCATTAGTGAAACGCACAGTTTCACTAATTCAGGAGTGGTGGGCTGACACATTTTGGGCCCGACTTTGGATTTTGAAAATATTTTTTGTTCGTTTCTTTTTCGAGAGTGAACTGGGCCTCCTCTGCTTGGGCCACGCATTTAAAAAAAAAATTGCACAGTGCGCTACAGTATCATTTGGGCCTCTGTTTGGGTTTTTTTTTTTTTGGTACAGAACTTCCTTTTTTTTTTTTCTCTGTTTGTTTTGGACTTTCATTTTGGGCCTGAACCTTTTTTGTTTTGCTTCTGGATTGATTATTTGGGCTCTGTTTAGACTTTTAAGTATGGGCCATTTGGTTTTATTTCCAGAAGGTTGTTTTGGGCCATTTAATTTAATTTTTCAGAATGTATTTGTACAAAATAAATTAATTTTGTTTTGTAATATGTTTCTTTGAATTCTGTTTTGTGCTCCATAATTGTTCAAATTGAGGATAATTAATTTCTTTAACATTTTGACATTTGGAAAATGTTTACAAAATTTAATTTGTTTTGTTATTTAATTGCCTATTTTGGATAATGTTTTTGGGCAATTAAATTAACTATTTGAATTTTGTAAAACTCTTTTGAAGTTGAAATGTATTGAAATTAATTTATCAAATCAAATTAAACTTGGGGTGCATGAAATAGTGGGAGAATTTAAATTAAATTATTTAGTTACTTCAGTTGATTAAATTGATTTGTTAAATTCTCCATTAAGTTGTGCATATTTGGAATTTAAATGCACATTTGTGATATTTGTGATTAGCATGCATCTTCCAAGGAATAGCCACAACATCCTTAATTATGTCGCATGCACTAATTAATCACATATGGATTTGAAATATCAATTGTAATTAAATGTGTAATTATGATTTATCTTTGCCCACAGGTAGATATCTCATAATTGCATATTTAATTAGGGTGGGATAGAATGGCCTTGTTATTTTCTAAGTGGCCCACAGGTATTAGAAAATGCAAATGCATTCTAGTTTCATCAATTTGAGATAAATACATGCTATGCTAATATCTTTGCCCACAGGTAGACATTAGTGATACGTATTTATTACTTGTATGCTTTATTCATTTAAGCATGCATACATGGCACAGTGAATTGTGATTGCCTCAAATTCTAACTTGTGAGCTTGGTTTTTTGTTCATTTGTCTGTTTCCAATTTGCAGTTCCAATTGCTGCCCCTAGAATCATGACTGATGTGAGCAACAAAATCATCTTAGATGGTAGCACTAACTACGCTGATTGGAGAGATGATGTTTTGCTGCAGCTCGGTTGTATGGACTTGGATTATGCCTTGAGGTATGAAAAGCCTCCTAGACCAGATGATGCCTCAAATGATAAGGAGGCAAAAGAAAGGTATGAATTGTGGGAGCGGAGCAACCGCTTATCTCTTCTGCTTATACAACAAAGGATCACCAGAAGCATTAGGGGAGCAGTCCCTAAATGTGAGACAGCCAAAGGATACCTGGAAGCCTTGGACAAGCAGTTCAAGCCAACAGACAAACAGATGGGTGGTGCCATCATGTCTGAATTATGTGTTATGAGGCTTACAGGTATTGGTGGTGTGAGGCAACATATAATGAAAATGAGAGACCTAGCCTCTCAGCTGAAATCCTTTGAAATGGAACCTACCGAGCAATTCTTAGTGCAATTGATCTTGAACTCACTTCCTGCTCAATATGATGCTTTCAAGGTCTCGTACAACACACATAAGGAGAAATGGTCAGTGGATGAACTGCTGTCCATGTGTGTTCAAGAAGAGACTAGATTGCTGATGAGTGGAAAGGTTGCACAAAAGGAGGCTCATTTAGCAGAAAGTTCCAAGGCTGGCAGCAGAAGGGGAAAGAAAGAAAAGAAGGAGGAAAAGAAAAAGAAGAAAATCCCTGCTGTTTCAGCTGTTAACAAAAGGAATGCCAGATGCTTCTTCTGTAAGAAAAAGGGACACATGAGGGATGAGTGTCTCAAGAGGAAGGCATGGCTAGAAAAGAGAGGTATGTTTTCATCGTGTGTTACTTTTGAATCTAATTTTTCTAGCGTTAATAATGACACTTGGTGGATTGACACTGGTTCAATGATCCACATTTCGACTACCATGCAGGGCTTTCTAACCAGCAGGCCTCCACATCCCAATGAGGAAACGGTCCTTTCAGGCAGTGGGAAAGGAGATCCTGTGAAAGCTGTTGGGACTTTTCGCATAATTTTTTCAAATAATCGCGTTTTGGACCTTTATGAAGTTTTTTATGTTCCCTCTTATAAGAGGAATTTGATTTCCATGTCAAGACTGATTCCGTTTGATTACCATTTAGTTCTTTCTAAGAAATTTATGACCTTGTCAAAAGACTCTGTTTTGATTGCGAACTTAGTTATGATTGATGGTTTATTTAAAATTGTTTCTGATTCTCCGCAATCTTTTTCTGTTACGCATGGTACTAAAAGAAGTGTCATTGATGAGAATTCTGTTAGCCTGTGGCATAGGAGATTGGGACATATCTCCGGTGAAAGAATCAAAAGGTTAAGTAAAGATGGAATTCTTCCATCTTTAGACCATTCAGAGTTTGATTCTTGTGTGGACTGCATAAGAGGAAAGCAGACCAACAAGTCACATAAAGGGGCTAAGAGAAGTTCTGAATTGCTAGAAATTATACACACGGATATTTGTTGCCCCGACTTGACTGCGCATGGTCAAAAATATTTTATCACCTTTATTGATGATTACTCACGATACATGTATGTCTATATGCTTTATAATAAAAGTGAGGCACTAGATGCCTTTAAAGAATATAAAGCAGAAGTAGAAAAACAGATTGGGAAACCAATCAAGATTGTGAGATCAGATCGAGGTGGTGAGTATTATGGCAGGTACACCAGTGAAGGACAAGCACCTGGTCCATTTGCTGAATTTCTTCGAGAGCAAGGTATAGTAGCCCAATATACCATGCCTGGCTCACCTGACATGAATGGTGTAGCTGAAAGAAGAAATAGGACCTTATTGGATATGGTTAGGAGCATGCTGAGTAGCTCCAAACTTCCAACTTCCCTGTGGAAGGAAGCACTCAAGACAGCCACTTACATATTAAACAGGGTTCCAACAAAGGCAGTGTCCAAAACACCCTTTGAAATCTGGAAAGGTTGGAAACCCAGTTTAAATCATTTCAGGGTATGGGGTTGTCCTGCTGAAGTAAGAGTGTACAATCCACAGGAAAAGAAACTGGACCCTAAGACCATTAGAGCTTACTTTGTAGGCTATGCAGAAAGGTCAAAAGGTTATAAGTTTTATTGTCCTCCACCTTCTAAAAGATTTGTAGAATCTAGGAATGCCAAATTTCTTGAGAATGATGTGATTAGTGGGAGTGATTGTTCACAAGATAATCACATAGAGCAAACCACTAACACCTATGATGAGGGACCATCAATAGTTAATGACTCTCCCACTGTTGGAGTTGACATTGAACATGATGTAAATCCTGAAGCTCAAGTTGACAATGCTGGACAAGAGGAACACATACAAGCTGATCAAACTGTCACACAAGTAGAACCTCCACAAAATGTGATAGAGGATGTTCCTAGTCAGCAGCTTGAATCAACCCAAGAGGTTGAATTAAGGAGGTCAACTAGAGAAAAAAGATCGGCATTACCTAATGACTACATAGTGTACTCTGCTGAAGTTGACTGTGATGTAAATGTTGAAAATGATCCGTTAACGTTTACTCAGGCCATGAAGAGTGCGAACTCTAAATTATGGCATGATGCTATGATTGATGAAATGAATTCCATGGCAAACAACCATGTTTGGGAGCTTGTACAGTTGCCTAGTGGGTCTAAGGCCATTGGCTGTAAATGGGTTTACAAAACCAAAAGGGACTCACAAGGCAACATTGATAGATACAAGGCTAGGTTGGTTGCTAAGGGTTTCACACAAGTGGAAGGAATCGACTACAGGGAAACTTTTTCACCTGTATCCAAGAAAGATTCATTCCGCATCATCATGGCATTGGTTGCGCATTTTGATCTAGAGTTGCACCAAATGGATGTGAAGACTGCATTCCTCAATGGTGAATTGGAGGAAGAAGTCTATATGAAACAACCTGAGGGATTCGTTGCAGAAGGTAAAGAGCAGTTGGTATGCAAGCTAAAGAAATCAATATATGGTCTAAAACAGGCTTCACGGCAGTGGTACTTAAAGTTCCATGAAGTGATCACATCATTTGGTTTTGTTGAGAACATCATGGATGACTGCATATACCACAAGGCTAGTGGGAGTAAGATCATATTCTTGATTTTGTATGTGGATGACATTTTGCTTGCTACAAATGATCTGGGACTATTGCGTGAGGTGAAACAGTTTCTGTTCAAGAGTTTTGACATGAAAGACATGGGTGAGGCATCTTATGTCATTGGCATAAAGATTCATAGAGATAGAACCCAGGGTCTTGTAGGCTTATCTCAAGAAGCTTACATTGGCAAGATTCTTGAACGATTCAGAATGAAAAACTGTTCATCTAACGTAGCTCCTATTGAAAAGGGAGATAAATTTAGTTCAGATCAGTGTCCTAAAATCGAGCTTGAAAGAAAACGTATGGAAAAGGTCCCATATGCCTCAGCGGTAGGAAGCTTGATGTATGCACAGGTTTGTACAAGACCTGACATCGCTTTTGCTGTGGGTATGTTGGGGAGATATCAAAGTGATCCTGGGGAAGCACATTGGACAGCTGCAAAGAAGGTGTTCAGATACCTACAAGGTACTAAACACTATATGCTCACATATAGAAGAACAGAAAATTTGGAAGTAATTGGGTACTCAGATTCAGATCTTGGAGGATGTGTAGATACAAATAAATCTACAACCGGTTACATCTTCCTATTAGCAGGAGGAGCTATATCATGGAAAAGTGCAAAGCAAACGCTAACAGCTCCTTCTACTGGTGATGCTGAGTACATTGCGTGTTTTGAGGCAAGTTCACAAGCAATCTGGATAAAGAATTTCATTGCTGGGCTCAAGATTGTGGACTCAATCTGTAGGCCAATAAGAATGTACTGTGATAACGCAGCTGCGGTGGCCATAGCAAATAACAAAAGGAATAAAAGTCGAAGCAAATTTGTCGAACTTAAATTCCTATGCCTGAAAGAAAGAGTTCAGGATGGCCAAGTTTCGGTTGAACGCATCAGTACAAATGATATGCTAGCTGATCCTTTGACGAAAGGGTTGAAACCGAATGTTTTCGTTTCACATGTACCTCACATGGGACTTCGTCCTTCATTTGACTAGTTGAGGTATGAGCAATGAAATCAAATTTATGGTTTATCATTTCTTGTTTAAGATTGTATACATTTATGATATTGAAATTGATAAATATTGAGACAGGAACCGAATAAACATTGAGTTTATTCATAAAGTGATACCCATTAAGTAAGGATGCTGCTTGTAATACATGGAAGGTAATACTCGATAAAAGAGGACTTATCGCTATGATTCTTGTAGTATGTCCTTAGTTAATCTTGACTGGGCAATGGCATTGAGTATACGGGCCAAGTGGGAGAATGTGAGATATTTATTATTAATATATAACTATTTAGATATTATTAGGATAATTAATAAATATTTTTGAGTGTGGCCCGTAGTCATTTTGGGCCCAGTCCAAGATGGGTAATGGACTCAATTAATTAAAGTTAGTTTCTGATGGTGAAAATAACATACGGTACATTGAGTCAGGAGCGAAACCCTAATCTCTGCTCACTCTCTGAGGGTTCCCCACTGGTGACGGCTGCATCCCAGTTGCCATCGCTGTGCCCAATCGCCAGCTGGAAGATTCCCTGCATTCTTTCTTCTCTAATTGTGTTCTTTAATCCACAGCTTATCATTATTCAGATCGAGTTCTACATCAAATCAACTGAGCTAATGGAGAGAGGTATTTATAAGTCTTCCGCTGTAACTCCTTTGAGTATCACATACATATATGTATATAATCTGGATTGTTTGAATAATATATGTATATATGTAGTTTTGTTAACAATGCAGCCTGCAAGGGGATAGAATTGCTTATTCGTCATTTTGTTGCTTGTAAATTAAGGGTCCCACGTGGTTGCATGCATTGTACGAGAATGTGGCAATTATTGCAGTTACATTCTCGACTATGCGGCCATCCCCACACCTGTAAAGTTCCTTTATGCAGGTAAATTTCTCCACTAAATATTTATGCTTTAAGTAACTTTTCTGCTTACATTAAATTCGATGTTGATAACCCATATTGTTATTCTCATCTCAATTATATAGTTAAACCCGTGTGAATCCTGTCATTTCAGGAGCTTCAAGCAAAAATTATCGAATCAAAGAAAGAAAGATGAGATGAAGTGGAAAACATTGGTTCAAAAGATTTTGAGAACAAAGGGTATTGCCGTGGCGCCGATTTTTCAACAGCAATAGCCAAAAGTTCGAGGCGATGAAACGAAATTAGTGTGAAATCAGCTTCACATCCCAACATCAAGTTGTATATCGTTTATACGTATGCGCGCGCACGCGCGCGCGCGCTTAAGATCTTCGATTTGCCGTAAGCTTTCCTGAGTTTCATATGTGAGACAACGTAGAGCACAAAATAGTTCCCCTGTGTATTTACCACGAAATTGTTGCCCTTGCTTTTGCCTTGGATGCAGGAAATGTTGCAAAACTGCTGTTTATTATTAATAATTGATTAAAAAATTACATGTAATAGCCTTTTAGGTGAAATCAATACATTATAAAATATGAAAATGTGTGGGAACTCTGATCTAATAAAACCTATCTCAACTGTGACATATGTGCTGGAGTCGAAGGAACAAAAAAGACGTGGATCTCGCACTTCCCATTGAGAAATTTAATTCTGCTTCATATTATGTTTGAGTATAAGCTTTTGCCTCCTTACTCTGTGAATCAGAAAATACTTACCACTGGTTCTTGTTGTCTCCCCAACATGCTTGCATCAATTTCAGGGAACCATTTTTTTATTCACAAAGCTGTACTCTTCCACTGATACTTTGGAATGACATCTGGTATAGAAGAACTATCCTTGTCCTGAGAAACTATTGTTGCTTCATATTTTACAGTGCTATGGGGATGAACTCTCTTCATCTGAACTTCTATCTTGTCTTGCATGGTACTTGTTGAGAACAGGTAGTGATGCAGTAGAAGCTATCCTGAAAGATCTTGCAGCACCGACCATAATTCTATCCTGCATCCTTCCCACTTCTTTGCACACTTGATCCAAGATATTTAGAAAGTCCCTTACAATCATGAAGATTCTGAAAGGGTGGGCTTCTTCCTTTGCTGCATTCCCATGAAAGTATTCTGTAACTTCCTTCACAAGGAATAAAGCCTTTCTTTCGTCATCCTTAATCCTAACAATTTCCTCTTCAGCATCTCTCAAAAATAGCTTCATGGAGTTGAAGAAATTCCCTTTCGTGTCTGATTTTTCATATTGGAAAACAGATCTCACTTTCTCAAGCCCCATTTCAAGCTTTGTGACATAGCTGCTCAAGACATCTGAGTCCATTGTTGCTGCTTTCTTGACATTGCTGAGGTCTCTGCCTAGTCCAGCCACAACCTGCAATCCTTGCTTCTTGAACTCATCCTCATTGAATTTGGAATTCTTTTGCTTCTGAACGTTCTCATTTGCAGAATCATTGCCTGAATCTTCGGATCTAATGATCTCTTGGACCACAAAGTGAAGCAATGTAGTCTTACCATCGGTTCCCTTTATGTCCACCAGTTTTAGCAGTGTGTCCAGTTTAAAAGCTTTAGCATCACCACGATTGGTGCCAACATTCATTCTATTTCCTGTCCTAAGAACAGCTTCGAGGAGTTTGAGGAACAGTCGACTGTTCTTCAATTCCCCACTTGCTGCCTGGTAACACAGAGACAACAAATCGGTTAATTTCTCAGGAGGCAACAGTGAATTGCAGGCAAGAAATTAATAAAGTAGTCATTGATTTAAGCTAACTTTACCTCGAGGGTTTGAAAAGACTTCCTCAGGTAATTAACTTCAGTATCAAAGTTAGATCTGTACAGCAAGGCTTCAACTCTTTTGAAGGCAAAAGGGATATCAAGCACTGCTTTAAGAAATCTTTCCGCAGACCCAAGTTTTGAAAGGTCACCATCATACTTCTTAAGCTTTATCTCTTCCTCCTTAGTAGGAGCCATCTTCACTAGAGTTTCAAATAGCTCAGTACCCAAACCTTCAGGATTGCCTGTTTTGTTCAAAACATTTGTCACAATTTATCATCCAGGAAGCAAATAAACCAGAAAGATCAAACAGAGTAAGAAAGTATTATAAATTAAAATACTTCACCAAGACTGGCAAATAAAATATGACATCAAGTCCTAAGCAGAAGAGGAAGGAAATAGATTGGGGAATATATTGTTCGAATTCTTCATCAGCTGATCCTAAGCCAATGTGATCAAATTTATGCTTCTGAAAGTCCGTGAGCTAGATTTGGTCATAAGTCATATATACACTGCACAATGCTGCTTAGCATCTCTCTCTCTCTCTCTCTAATTACCTTTGACTGCTTCGCCTTTCTCATACCTAATCATAGATGTAATGAATAATGACTATGCCCGTTTTCGGATTAGTTTGTTTGATTTCTTGAATTATGCATTTTTTAAGATTCCCTTTACTTACAATGTTGGAAAACTGCTTTGGTTAATACAGATGCTCTTGAGCCTCCACATTGTGCAAGATTATAGACGAAAATACATTGAATGGGTCTTTTTTACGTTACAGAAACAGTTTTCTGCAGGTGACATCCAATTGTCTTAACCAAAAAATAATTGAGAGACGCTTGTGATCAATAATGATTTGCTCAGTGACTTGGTGTGTGTGCAAGAACCAGTGAACAAATCAACCTACCGTCCAAAAGAGCTTCGCACACTTCATCTCTTGTAACATTCAGTGCCCTTAGTAGTATAGCAATGTTCTGTGACTTCTTCGGGTCCAGTACCTTCTCCTCCTGATTAACAACAGGAGGAAGAACTAGTTTTCTAGGAGGTTCTTTTGGAACAACATTTGTAGTAGAATTGCAGCCAAACAGGCTCTCCATCATGTCCTCATTTAATCTACAAAATATTTTTTATGATTAAAAAAAAAAAAAATAGCTCCTTGGTAGTTTATAACACTAGGCCACAGTCGTAGTAAATGCCAATGAACTTACTGAAAAGAGCTTGATTTTAGCTGGTCCCACACTGTAGCACGATCTGAGGTTGCACGCACTTTATCCCAATGCAGAGCCTTTAGTCTGGGTTTCCCTCCGTCCATGTCATCGGCTTCCATCCTCCGGGAAGAGGCAAGCCTTTCATCAACATGTTCAGAGTCTGAGGCTTTTGTTATACTCTTAACAGAAGCTGCTCCTTCACTCGCAGACCAAGACTGTTGGTTTCTTGAAGCAGAAGATGAGGGAACACTAATTGCCGGCGACACTGTTTTCATTGGTGTTGTTTTCAGGGGCGGCGGTGGAGGTGGAGGTGGAGGAGGAGGAGGTGGAGGAGGCGGCGGATGAGGATATTTAAGTGAAGTCCTCGACGTGTCCTGGGGTGTGTAGTCTGTTGACTGGAGATGCGTCAAATTTGGTGCCGGAGGTGGCGCTGAGAATTTTGGTCTTCTAGAAGTACCGGAGGTCACTTGTTTGTCTAGATGCTGAAATGGTGTTGATCGGATTGGCGGCGGCGGAGGAGGAGGAGGAGGAGGCGGAGCCTGCTTTATAGATGGTATAATAACAGGCCTCACATCCGGCGAAGAAGCAGTGAAGCGAGATTTTGGTGATGTCCTTTTTGAAAAAGGATGAGAACTAGTGGAATGAGTCTCACTCCTCGCAGTAACCGTCGGGCTACCGTTAGCCAGAGAACTCTGACGCGAAACTGGTGTATAATAGCCATCCTCGTGGCTCAGCGATGACCCGTGCGGCGTATGAAATGCCATGTCGTGGCTTTCCTCGTCGGAAGACGAAGAAGAAGAAGACGAAGAAACCGCCGGCGGGTAATTGCCATCCGGCGGCCTTGTTAGAGGCGGCAATGGCTGCAATTCAGGACTTGGCCGGTACCGATCGGATCGCTTTGGAGGATTCAGTTTATGATAAGGCGACTTGTTTCCTCCATTAGTCTCAACGGGCTCACTCGCTGATTCCGTTCGTGTCGGCTCCACTGTCCCAATGTACAGAAAACTCGACGGTGGGGCCCCCGAAGAATCCTCGTTAATGCCCTGCGAATTCCTACCCACAAGCTTCTGGGTCTCACCGGGGTTCTTCACACGATGTCTGTACAAGAAGAAGGCAAGAGCAGAGAGCATACCAAGAGTCACAATTCCAACAGACACGGCAATTGCGACCTTCTTCGTGGGCTTGTTCGCCGATGTTGTTGCCGTCGGATTCGGAACTGTCATGCCATTGGGAATCGCCGGAGGTGGCTGATTCTGATCCGGCGTTGGTCCCACTGGATTCTCGTGGAAGAAAGGAATATCGGGAGAAGATGGGGTGTCCGGAGGGGGCGGTGGCGGAGACTCAACGGCGGCTGGTGGTGGAGCAGAACCCACCGGGAACAACGGTTGGTGCAGAATTCTTCTTGATTGAGCTTCATCGAAAGTTCTGAAGCTGATAGCTTTGGTCCCCTTGGCCGCGTGGGGCACGGGGCATTGAGATAATGATATGATAGAGAGGAAGATAAAGAAATGAAGTTTCATGCTGAATTTTGCTGGGCTTGGCTAATTCTCTTCTCGTTTTCGGAATTCATCTCGGGTTTTTGCTCTGCTTCTGCAAATTCCTCAGCTCGAAAGATGTGAGTGGGAGTGAGAGGAAGCCTGTCTCTCGGTTGTAATGTAAGATCTTGACACTGAGACAGATGCCGTCAGCAGGAGCCGCATTTTTCTGTTTTAATTAATTAATTAATAATAAAAGTGATTTTTTTTTGGACAATATTAAGGGAGTGAGTATTAAATGCGACCATACACTTATTAAATAATCGGTGTATATGGTTTAGGAAGGTGGAAGGGGAATAGAGTAGACGTGGGGGTGACGGTGTACTTGGCCAGTTCGTTGTCGAACAGATGGACCATAAGGACAAAGTTGTGCTCATGTAATAGAATTATGGGTTCACCCCAAAAAATAAATAAAAAGAAATTTGGTACTTGATGTTCTTTATTGATATTTATTATTAGGAAATAAATAGCTTTGTCATCTTTTCTGTTTTAATTTTTTTCAGGGGAAAAAAAGAAAAAGAAAGAGTTTTGATATGCATATATCTCTCGTTGGGAGCCGGGGCAAAGCATAAATTCCACCTTTCTTTGATACCCTTTAAATCCTGCGTCCTCAGGCCACTTGTCCGATCATCTTTATCACTTTATCTTTTGAAGATAATAAAATACAGAGTAGTGGATATCTACGTGAAATTATGTTGTCCATCAAATTATATTCCTAAGTAATACTAGCTCCGATCTTAATTATAAGAACTAGTTGACTAATTTAAAAAGATTAAGAAAATAAGTTAAATTAGTTATTTATAATGAATAAGTATCATCTTTCTTAAAATATTCTTACTAATCAAGTACATTAGCTATAAATATCATTGTTAGAAGAACTTTTGTGAAAAAAAATATATAAATATGAAAGACAAAGTGGATTGAGATCTTATATTTAGGATCAAAATAAAAATCAAATAAGATCTTATATTAAGGACCGGAGGTAGTACTATAATTATTCTTATAAAAATAAAATAAAAAATTAATATTTCATCTTCGTAAGGAAAATAAGTAATAATCTTATTGAATACAAGTGATCATTTTGGATAAATTGAAAATAATGCGACTATTTTTACCCAAGTTACTTCTTCATTGGGACATCAATTTTTCTTTTATATAAAAAGGGAATACAAAACTACAATAGAATGGAAAAAATAAATACAAGAGTACTGATGTGGGAATTTCTTACAAGGGGTTAGCCAAACCATGAACCTAATGGAGACAAAAACACGCGGGGCACGTGGCATTACTGATGAAGTTCAATGTTAACAAGTTTCTGGCGCTCTCTGGGTGAAGCGTGTCTTGAGGTTTATGCTTTGCTTAAATCGAGGTTAGTGAAATGGGCGGTGATTTATGTACTAGGGTTTAGCATCATTAGTCCCAGATTACCACATATCATCACACCTAACCTACGCCCAAGGCCAGGTACAATGTTCCCGTGACTATTACAATCATACTTCAACCTCAAACTCCCAAAAATTCTCCCACAAATGTTAACACTTCAACCTTTGATTAGCCATCTAAAACTTTTGAAACACGCTCATAACTTTAGTTTAGTAATATACTTAAATATAATATTTCAGTCTCCTTTGTTTTCTAAATTTATTATGTGTTCTTAAAAATATTTCTATTAATTATAAAGTATTTCCATCCAAATATAGTTTTAATATACATGATTGAATAAGAATAATTTATAAAAGTTAACGTATATTTATAACAAATAACTTATGTTAAGGACAAAAAATAATAATATTTTTAATTAATAAATAAAAAATATGAGTTCAATCTTATTTATAATTTCAATTGGTTGTTAATACCTATTCTTTTATTTTTATTTTTTAAAAATCTTGAAACACCTTTCACACACATTACGTTCTGACTCATTTGTTTTTAAAATTTTTTTTTTTGGGAAACAATGTAAATAAACACATTTGATAAGTGGGGAAAAAACAAAGGAACCTGCCTGTAATGTTTGCGGTTGTCGGATTCTACCGACGGGCCTGGCTTCTTAATGCATTATTGCCATTTGCGACATCCTTTATAATACCAACACTATAATGCTGCGCCAAGGAAATTACTGTCCCAAACGTTCATTTTTGTAAGTATTAATTTTAAAATTGGTTTAAATATTACTTTATTAAAAAAATTTGAATAGCGCAAACTTGAAGATCTTATTTCGATTTTCTCTGTGTGATGCTCATACGAGTACTTTATGTTTTTGGCGCTGCCCAATATAATACAGATACTTTAGTAATAGAAAAATAAATGGATGTCTGCTAGCCAATAAAAAAAATTAATATAATTTTTTATCCTTTAAATTTATTCTTATTTTGGTTTTAGTTCTTCTGAGGGCGAAATGATCCAAATTTTTATTGGGTATGGAGATCAATATTTTAAGTAAAAAGAAATTTAAGAAACTAAAACTTATGATTTAAAATTTGAGAGATCAAAACTAAAATGAAAATAAATATGAGAACCAAAATTTGTATTAATAAAAAATAAATAAATAAATGGGTGTGAGAATCCAAAGGTCATAGACGTAACTTCGAAAAAAGTGATGCATGGGGTCGCAGGTCACATATTGTCTTATTAGTGTAGTGCTTTCTCTGTTGTCACTCGAAAGATTGATCACATATTATTGTTCCTCTACTCTTTGATGTTGAACTAGACTGACGCTAACTGCTGGTAAATAAAAAAAAAAAAAAAAAGAAGCTAGAGTGACGTGAACTGTACAAACGCGTCATCTCATATTTTCATTGTGGGTTTTCTTTAATAATTTGTATTACCATACTCATTAAGTCTTTAATAAGATACTACCTTCGGTCTTAATTATAAGAGCCAGTTGACTAATTTGAGGAGATTAAAGAAGTAAATTAAGTTAGTTATTTGTCCTAAATAGGTGTTGTCTTTCCTAAAATATCCTTACCAATAAAGTGTATTAACTAAAACTATAATTATTAGAAGGACTATCTTAGAAACAATTGAGTAAATGTGAGAGATAAAGTGGATTGGGTCTTATATTTAGGACCAAAATAAAAGTCAAACAGGATCTTATATTAAGGACCGGAGGTAGTATATATGTAATTAGAAAAAGAGTATATTCATTAAGTTTTTTTCCTTCCCTTTTTTAACACAATCCAGTTTTCAGATTGAGTCAACTTGATCACATGCTGGATGTCAAACTTTCCTTGCCGTACTGTTCATTTTAGTTCTTATTAAAACATCATATACATGTTAAATTTTGATTCATGAATATCTCGAGATAAACATTGCAGCCCCCAGCACCGACGACAAAGGTTATGCTTTCCTTCGTATCTTAATGCTATCTCTTACCTTGCATTGATTCAGATCAGACACGAATTTATTAAACTTTGCAGAAATTTTTTTTTTTCATTCCAAAGAAGTTACAGATGACTAAGTTATAATAGACTGCTATTTAATTCGATATAATGTTTGTTAGAATTTTATGTGGAACAGGAAACATTAAAATGATATTACTTCTTACCGATATTTAACAGAAGAGTTAGTTGACTAATTTGAGTAAATTAAGAAAATTAGTTAAGTTATTTATTTGTAATAAATAGGTATTGTCTTTTTTAAAATATTTTTACTAATCAAGCGTTATTTAATAAAATATTTAACAGTATAATTATTACAAGGATTACTTTAAAAAATAGATAAATATAATAGACCAATTATATTGAGGTTTTATATCTAAAATCAAATTAAAAATTAAACTAGCTCTCACGATAAGAACCGGAGGTAATACTAGCTAACATAAATGAGTCAAAAACCGCATTTTATGGATGGCCAGAATTTGGATATTAATGTGTTAAGCAGCGCGCCTGAAATTTCATGAAGACAAAGTGGCCCTAATAATTAGTTATTGTTATATTATATTATATTATATTTGATCACGAACATCCTTGATTAATTAATCAGTTAATGGGGTTAAATCAGAGCCAAACGCAAGCAATTTAGAACAGTGAAAGTGTGAAAAGATAAGGTGGAAAAAGAGGGTATGTATAGTATCATATTGTTAAGTTATTGTCGCTATGCTGATGGTTTCAAAAAGAACCAGCTCTTCCACCGATCTTTTTCCATGGATCATTGTGCTGGCTTCAACCTCTGCCAGCCTTTTAAGCTGGCTTGCTCAAAATTATTTTGAAAAAAATGTATGCTAACTAATAGCAGTTGTTAAGCAGAATATTCCCTACGGGTGATACAACGAGTCAACGAAACATATTAAAATTAAAAGAAAAACGTTAAAGAATTGCATCTGCAATTGGATTGTCCACCAAATGAAAAATGACCATGATATTTTAATTTGACTCCTTTTTTATTTAATCTGCGTCGCGCCATTTCAATAATTAGCTCAACGCATAATAGGCTGAGAGATAAAACATGGTTATTATATTATAATATGTGAGCAAAGTATATTATTATTTGTTAGTTGCCAGGCCACTATATATATATAATTGTCCTATTTTTAGTTGATGTGTCTATCTAATATTTCTAGAAAATTCTGCATTTCAATATTTCCCTGTAATGAAACATGTATTGTACCTAATATCCAAGGTATCCTTTGTGTCATCTAAGAAGACATACAAAAAATTGGCATATAAATGTTTATTTCATTTTCTCATTATTAATTAATTATGTAATAGTAATTTTTCACAAATCATACTTTAAATTTTAATTAGATGATAAATTTTTTTTTTATTTATGACTATAATTTCATGAGTTTTACCTTAAAAAAATATTAAAATTAGGACTGTATATTGGGGGGGTTAGGCAACCCGGGGGTATGCCTGCAGCCTGCTCATTTAAGGTTAAATGGGTACAGGATAGTCCATATCCATATAGAATCTATTTAAACCCGTTATAAATGAGATACCCTTAAATAGGCAGTTTCACACAGGTTTTGGACTAACCAATTTAGTGATGCCTTTTTCCCCCCTACTAGAGAACTTTAATTTTAAAAATATGTAACATAAAAATAATACTAATCTAATTCTAAATGTAAGTTACATTTAGAATCGGAAAAGTAATAACTAAGATATAAGGCAACTCCTGAT